ATCCAAACATTTATCAAGACAATCAAAAGAACAGAACATCCTTTATTCAAACAGCATTGACTTAGCATTCAATGTCCTGACTGAAACCATTTTTCACCAGAAGTTAGGCCTGGTTTAAAATTTTAGTGCTAGTCCCTTCCCAGCCTCTGCTCGCTGAGGCTGCAGCTTAGCTTTGCCCATTGCTCGGGCTCTATTGCCAGCACCTGCCTGGGCCGCACTCCATCATGGCTCTGCCTCCCACCTGCGTGTACCTGTCCGCCCGCTGCTTCAGGCTATCTTGTGCATGCCTTTGTCCGCCACAGCCACTGGGCGCGCCGGCACACACAAACTCACACTTAAGCTTCCTACTCCCATGAAGGGACTACCTAATAACGAGTTATTCCCACTATAAGGGAAAAAAAGAAAAAAACATTTCCCACAAAAGGGATCCTAAATATTGAATTATTCCCACTCTGAGGGAAAAATAAAAAACATTTGAGCCAAAATTAAGCAAACAGACAGCAAAACTTTAAGCTCTGGGCTCTCTTGCTGTTCAGCCAGCAGCAATGAGGCCTACCTGCCGATTCTTTGTAATTCAGATGCTGCCGCTCTGCACTGGCAAGAAAAAAAAACTCAAGAGTTTTCAGCTATCCTGAAAACTCTACAACTGGAAAAAGTCTTTACATTTTCCATTACCACTGGGAAGAGGCTTCTCTCTTTCCTTCATCCTTCCTCTACAAGGCCCCAATCTTTAGGCTTAGTTTCAAAAAATTTTCCCCTTTTTACCGGGAAAATTCTTTTTTTTTTCTTGATTAAAACTTTTTCTCCCTTTTCTAACGGGAAATTTCCTTTCCTTCCCTCTTCTCTATTGGGAAGATTTCCTTTTTCATTTAAAATCTTTAGCTGTCTTGCCCTTACTTAACTTTGGTGCCTTCCTGCTTCAACAGTCCAGTTAACTGACTGTGAGCTAATTGCACCCATTTCAATTCACTCTTACCTTTAAAATGCCGGCCGGCCTTCCAAGAGTGTCCGTCAGCTAGTCCTTCTTTCTCAGATCTCGGTAGGAACCTCCATTTGTAGTGGTAACGCCCCCATTACCGATACCCATTTACCATGCCTGAGCGAAGGGCTGCGGATTAAAAATAGAGACAAGAGACAGCGAGTCATTCGCCATGGCTGAATGCCGAATGCCGAATGCCGTTTATTGAAAGAGGGAAGAAACCTTAAATACAGGCTTACAGCACAAATGGAGGAACCCCCGGAGGGCAGAAGTTCGCTACCAATGGTCT